CAATTGGAAAAAATTTCCCTATTCTTAAAGTTTGTATGTCATTTGATGTCACTTTAAATTTTGTATCAATATTCTATTTTGTATTAAAATGAAGAACCATGATGATATTTTCATAAATGTAACAAAATCACTAGATTTGGAATGATAAGTTTTGTTGCAGTTTCTGTCGTATTGTTTACAAATGCAGTATGTCATTTAACAGATGGTCCCGGTGTTTGCAAAAAAGATCAAATGTTCAAAGCGTAAGTATGATAACCTTTCTATATTCAAAGATATTGTTACAAAACGTGAAACCTCTTTACGTTCACAAATCACGAGTTTTTGTAAGAAAGATTTTACAATGACGCTCGAAATGAAAGCCACATATACGAATAAGGGTTTAAACTAAAAAGAAAAACAAAATTATACTGACATGCATGATGAGGTTTGTTACAATAACTGAAATTAAACAAACAGGTGAAATTGAAATATTTAAAACAATATTAAAACACTACGAGGAACCTATAATTTTAGAATAGCTGTTTGGTAATGGGAATCTTTTTTTTGAAATGTCATTATACTGTACGAAATAATAATACGAGAAAAAGCATATTACGCTTTGCATATAATCGAAAGCCTATGTGTTATCGCAATCTTGCGCAAAAAAAAGAAGGGTCACTCATGTCCGTATTTAGCGCTATTCAGTGAAGTTTTGAGTAAATGAGCTTGGTGTGGCTCATTTTGTTAGTTTTGTGTATAGTGTTTTGTGGACTGTCTATTCGTCGTACTTTTTTCCAATGATGATGTCTGGCTTTCATCTACTTATAGTTAAGAACTTGTCTTACTTCACAGACACTTGTCATTGTTCCCTTAGTACAACTGTTTCCCTATATTTTAAGATGCACATAATATAAGGCAAATAATCAATGCGTGTAATAAAGAAGAAGAAACAAGTAAAACATTATTTGTGATGCTATGACATTGTATGTACAAACATGTAGTTCACTGAATAATCCATGATCCAATCTGACTGTATGCATATTTCCGTCTGTTTCTATGTAGTAGAAACATCATGCAAAGGTATGCAATAAACAACAGATTAATCATAGATAAGATTTCTTACAACTATTTACATAATTATTAAATATGAAATTGCTTCACCAATAAAAAAGATAGGAAACCCAGATAAATAAAACGAACCACAATGTGTCATTGTTTGTTGGTTACTCATATATATTTCATAACAATGTTTTACCTTTGAAAGTCATTTTTGCTTCAATCCGTAACCAGGTACATATATGATTAATTTAAGATTTGGACCAAATGTTGTCCTTATATTGTCTGTTTGAACACAATGACATTGATAGGCAAATGCTAATAATTACCAATTCAGGATACAGTCACTTCAACTTTTGTAAAGGAAATTAGACGGTTGATGTCAGAAAAGTGCCACATATCAAAGAAAGACAACAACATGACAAACGTTTAAAAACTCTAAAAGACAAACTACAGCCCACAGAAGTACATATTTAGCAACATGAAACCCGTCAAACCCATGGTACATTATGTCAAAGATCTCGTTAATCATAAATCGCGTTCGTCAATGTAAGAAACGAGAAAGGATGGACAAGATTCAATAAAGTTCAAGCAGAAAACGTTTTAATTTTAAATCTAAAGTAAATATGATATATACATTTCTAAATAGTGTTATCACAAAGTATTTCCGAATAAGCACTGATGACAAATGATAAAGACATTGACAATTTTTAAAGTACAAAAAAATTTAATACCTTTTCAATTATAATTTAAAAAAAAAACAACATTAAAAGTGTAAGGCATTATTAATTTTTTATTGTATTTTGTTTGTTCCCAGAAATTTTTGGAATTCTCTTAACTCTGATATTTAAAATAGAGGCAAAAGATACCAAAGGGACATTCAAACTCATAAGTATAAAAATAAACTGACAACGCCATGGCTAAATAGAAAAAGACAATCAGACAAACAACAGTACACAACATATAACATAGAAAACTAAAGACTGAGCAACACGAACCCCACCAAAAACTGGGAGATATCGTAGAAACTCCGGAAAGAAAAGCAGACCCTGCTCCAGATGTGGCACCCGTCGTGTTGCTCATGTTAGTACAAACCCGGTAATAAGTCTAATTCAGTAGGTGACATTCGGGGAAAAGGGAACAGGATTGTAGTTACGTCAATTGGAACATATCCGCTGTCATCTGTGAAACGGATATTCCATAACAGTCAACCAATATTAACATTCCTTTTAATTCGTACAATGTAAGCATGTAATTATGAACAATACTTAAATCGAAAGTAGAATTATTCAATAAGTAATGAACTGATTACAGGAACAGAAGCAGCCAACAGGAGACAATTTTTTGTTGTGAAGGCTACACAGAAAAAAATGGCATGTGTGTTGGTAAGTGGTGTATCATAGGCTATGTATGACACTAACATAGTCGTCATAAATGAAACAACCTAGAATATACAGAATATAAAAGGAATATTTGCAAGACGAATCGTTATATATCACATAATGTACAAAAAATCATCCTCAAATGAGATATGTACTAATACGAATTCAGACACATCAAATATTCAACGATTGGTTAAATTGTACTTTTGTTCCTTTTATCGAAGAAAATAAACTGTTTTCCTCGTCTGTCTGTCCATTTTAAACTGTAAAGTTGTATTTGTAGCATCTGCTCAAAACAAGTTTCTAGTTTGAAGCTACATTGTAGTGTTCAACATCATTGGGCATCAGTTTCAGGCCAAACAAATGTTTGCAATTCTTAACAACTGGTGAAAAGGTCAACACATTCTAATAATCGTATGTACCAGAACAGTAACCGAACACTGACTTTACAATTGTCTATATCATATATATATCTAAAATGCAATATCTACCCTTAACCCAGGCTTTTTTTAAGCCCGCATAAGCGACCCATGGGAATATACCATTCCTTTGTTTTCAAAGTAAACATTTAATTTTTAAGATTCTGTAGTGAGGGATCACAAACAAATCAAAAGAAATTAGATTTTACACAGGTGATGACCATGCTCTAGTAGGTATTTAATGACGTTATGCATTGATCGAGTGGGCAAAATCATGATTCAAGAGTCATATGAAGGCAATAATATTGTAAGTTTGTAACATTTGACTTGAAATGTATTTATAAAACATGTGCTATCAATTTATAACGAATTCAGGAAATGCTGTATACAAATAATGATACCAACATTTAAAATACCAGTTTGTATGTTTACGACATCTATCCCAATACAATATTTGCACTAACTAAAGCATCGCAAATGTAAGAATTAACAACATACATATGTAAACAATCGGTTACCATCGGAAGATTCAACTACCCTACAATCATTTAAAATCTACCGAGGTTTCCAAAATATAAATGATTCTATTACGTCATATTTCTTTTGCTGTACAGATTGTCCAGATTGTACCTATATGAGATGTCCTGAGAATTATTGCGGTGATACTTGTATAGAGATGTGCGATTGTCCTCAAAATGCTTATTGTGATAGACTGTATTGCTGCCTTTGTGAACCTGGCTTCCATGGAGTTTTCTGCAATGAAAGTAAGATTAAATACGTTTGTTTTAACAATACAAAGATTTCTGCAAAACTTAGTTAACAGAAAACAAAACCTTACTGTAAATGAATTTGATAATGAAAACCCATGTTAATGCTGATTAAGAGGATAAAACTTCTAGTGACAGAAACAAAAAAGTTTACCTTTAAGCAATAATACTGCCGAATACAAAATACGATAACCAATTTGATAGCATTTGATATAACAATATCAATGGCACCAGTCATCCGTTACAAATCTTACATAAGCTAGAGTCAATGAATAGTAGTTATGACATTTCTTGACCTTACAAACAAACTTATAACTTTGATCGAAGTATATAGCACTGAACTTGATTGTCAAGATTAGTTTTAATCCATGTGCGTCCTGTAGTGTTAGAAAAACGTATAAAAACAGCCACACAACAGTCCAAAGAACACTTAAACATATCACAATTTGTAAAAACAATATTTTATGCAAATGTAATTCGTTTGTGTCCTTTTTTAAAAATAATTCTATTTATATTCTTAAATCGATTTTCTTATTGACATGACAATTTCAAACCTAGTTGATATTTGAATAGCATTATATTCAAATATTTTATTTCATTTAGCATGTAAACATGGATATTATGGACCAGGATGTAAAAACAAATGCACGTGTCAAACTCTGGATAAATGTGGTCCAGTCACAGGAAACTGTACCTCTTATTCCTCCAATACCTCAACTATATGTCCACCTGGTGAGTTTACGGTAGACTATGTACGATTGTTTTGGCTAATTTTTAATTCGAATCTTCTGTTATAAATGCAAAATACAAATTTAGTGTAACAACTGTTTTGTTTTAGTTCTTTAAAACAAAGGCATGTGGACTTTTCTTCTTGCCCACAGAGGAACGTATGCTATAGAGCTGGCTGGAAAAAACGTTAAGGCTGATATGTCATTTGCAAGACTATACCACTCTGTTTGTTTGCCTTTTTTAAAAATAGCTCATTAGAGTCTGTACTGGATCTATTGCAAGGTAATAATTCTGCCCCTACACAACATAGTTTTGTTATTTAATTTGCTCTCGCCCTGAATAAGCATGACATATTTGTCAATTGGTTTTAATCAAATAACGATAAATCATCTATATTTATTTTTGTTGTTGTTTTTTCTCCTTCAAAAACAATTATATCATATGAAAGAATGAATCTAAAAAGTGAGTCATTAATAGTCCTTCAAAATGCAATAAAATATTCATTCATTCATTCATTCAATATTAGAACTATAAACCAGTGTCGGATTTTATTTTTTATTTTATTTTTATACTGTGTAATTCCTAGAAATGAAATATTTAAGGTTATCTTAGTAAAAACCCTTTATATATTCACATTTTTTTAATATTTATTTAGGCACAACTTCGAATAAAAATTTGAATAACTGTGGTGGCAGCAATAACAGTAACAGTATGTTACATGATGGAGAGAGTGAGACATCAGGTTAGTTTAAAGCAGAATATTTTATGGATGGACTATAAAGTATTGTCTATTTTAAATTTAGCAAATTTGCGAACTGCTTTGTTTATCTTAAAAATCGGTATTACTATTTGTTTTTGCCTGAAGACCTTTTACTGATCCATGAAAATTGAAAATGAAATAATATCCATCCAACTACCTTGTTTTTAACATGGTAGAAAACACACACAGATAAATCAATCTCAGTGCAGCTACAACAGTCACAGGCTACAGGGACTCTATTGTTTTAGCTTGTGGTTAGTAATCAAACGATTATAATTATTGCTTAAATATCATAATAACATGTTACCCGAAATATGTTATAGGACCGACTCATATTGATTGTTAAACTTTAAATAAATGGAAACACTGAAATCAACTGAAAATATGTGCTATGCCTTTATCTACATTTACTTTGTTTTCTCAATTTGTTAATGAAACGGTACTTTCATGCCTAAAATAAAACAAAAAAGTTGACCCGACGAAATTCTACACATGGAAGTATACATGACCTGAAATGAAGATTTCATTAACTTTTCCATCATTTTGAAATAGTTATTCTGATATATATTGCCTACTCTATTACAGGTGGAATGCACATTGGATATATTATATTTATCGTGGCGGCGTCAGTTGGAACTTTGGTATTTACAGTACTTTCTATATATGGTAAAATACTGAAGATAATAGTACGACGCCTTAGGAATAATGACTCGTCTAGGAAGAAGCCAACTATATGACACACATTCACAGGATACATTACGTCATAAAATACTTCTTTCTGTATAAATTTAATGACTTGAAATGTGTCTGGTTTTTTTTCAACTCTAACTTGCAATAATGAATATTTCAACAGGAATACTCCCATCTGAAATTATAGAGAGTGTGACAAGTTATGGAGCAAACTGTAAAGGAAACTTGATTTAGCCAGCTAATCTACAAGTAACAAACACATAAAGAGAACATTATTTTTTTTAAGTATTCATTGTTCACAAACTATTTAACATTTCATGTTGTTTCTAATCAATTTAGTGTGAACACATAAGGTCTTGGCGGATGATATACTAATGAAGTAACAACATGTCATTGTATGATATCACGTGTGTCTTGATCTGAAAGAATCACTTTGTAGTATAAATTATATACACATCGTAGAACCTACTTATGGTAGTTAAATTTAATGCGCCTTTTGAGTATAAAAAAAACACTTGATTCATTGAATGATGTTCGCTTTACGTTCAATGGCAAATACATATACCATTAAAAGAGAGAAAAGCAAGTCGTTTTGGAATAAAATTCAAAAATTGCTTTTACATTGCTTGTTTCTTTGGATGATTGCGTTTTAAGTCAAATTCGTTGAACTCCAAATAGTTCATTTAGTTTTCTTCCGTTCTTTTTTTGGGTGGGACCGAACGTTACCTTTAAACTATTCAACAAATAGTTAGTACAAGCAGTAGGTGTTCTAGGGTTAATAGGCCGACGATCCTTATACAATCATGCAGAAACATGTATGCCTAACAAGCTACCCATATCATGTCGCCAAGGTTGTCTTTATTGGAGCAAAACTAATATTAGGTTAGATTCTTTTATTCTCTGTGAGCATCAGTCAGTTTGTGAGCTTAAACTAAATACTTGTAGTGCTAAATTCTTTGATTTACATTAAAGAATGTAAAGGAATTGTCTACTATAAGAAAATATTTAAAATACGCAACAGATGTAAAATTGTCAGGACAATCCTTTGAATGATTTATACTTTGTAGTCTTGCCTCCGATTGTATTTAAAATGTTCTGTTATTATATACATGTATATATTTATGATATACCTATAATTTGTATTGCTTCAGGTTTAAAACAAACTATTAACATATTTTTAGTTCCTTCAGCTATTCGTATTTTGCCATAAAAAAAAACAAAGACGTTAAAGGATTCTTGAGGGGAAGGGACAAAATTGTCCCTTACCTACTATTTGGTCTGACTATTCGCTTTCACTTGTGAATTCCTTTCTTGTCTTTAATATTATAACTGTTGGTTAATAATTTCCGGAAAGGTTCATCCAATAAGTTGATTTGCCGTTGCAGTTCATGTCAGAATTCGGGTTGTTTGTCAAACGTCTGAACAACAATGAACATACACTTAAAGTTATATATCAATTTATTAAATTCATACGAGAGAAAAAAGGCTTTGTTGATTTGCTTTTGGTTTTATTTAATAAGCGTAGGGGTTTTTGTGATTGATTAATACATCATACACTTCCTATCATTATAAAGAAGTCCCACACAAAAAAAAAAAAACAAAAAAAACAATTAAAACCAAAATTGTTCAAACTGCGTAGCTGCTCTGGATTTCTTGGTTTCCAGCTAATTATAAGTAATGCTTAGACAAATCTTTAGAAATTCAAACATAATGTAATAGACCACAAAGGATGTTTGATATTTATCTAAGGTTTTCTACGTGATTGGAGCTGGCTGACAATTAGCTAGACCATCAATTGCTAAATACGCTTTCGAAAAATGTCGCTTTACCATTCGGTAATTATCTATATTGTGCAATATTTATTCGAAATTATAAAATTACACATTATACGAATGTAGATGCATTGTTGCATTATTTGCCCTTGGGAAATCATCTCAGCTAATTTTGAAAATATTTTTGCTAATTATGAAAATATTTTTCCGTTGAATTCTCTCAATCCTGAGCTGTTGTAAAGCGTAGTTTGCGCGAACTATTGATGCTTGCGAAACAGTGGTTGACAGGAAATTCGACGTGACCTGTCCTATCAACTGTAGTATAACTAATGAAATGTGAGTTGTAAGTTGATAGAACTTGGGGGATAAAAAATTGTCATTTAAAAGACTGACCAGTGATAAAAAATGCAATGAATGGCAATGTAGAGGTATTGCTTCGTAGCTGAGATCTCCCCGTCACATGCGGAATGAAGGCTGGCTGTCAGGGGACAGGTTGGAGGGGATATTTTTTGTAAGACAAGAACTGCTAACGAAACTGATCGAAACAAGAAGACAGCGTTATCTATCAAAATATTTTCAATAATAATTATTTTAACGGCTATGGTCTGACCGCTATCTGACTGCTAAGCTATAAAATTATCGACGAGACACAGAAACAAAAACAAACACCCGAAAGTCGTTATGGATCATTAAGAGAAGAACTTCTCAAACGAGCAATAAAATGCAGCTGTCGAAACAATTATAAACCAAATTATATGCTATATATTCAAATAATTTTACATTTATACCACAAAGTTTCTCCAAGAAGGTATACTGTAAATTAACTACGTTGTGACATAGTTAAAGACTCATTGATTATCGTCTGAAGGTTACAACTGTTATACACTTGTAATTGACCTTAATGACCTGTACCAAGTTAAGTAATGTAGTCTGTAATTAAGTGGCTGGTGGTGCTATAACAGAGACAAAATGCCTGACTGAAAACGAATACATTTCAACAGAGAAAACTGACAAAAATAAAAGAAATATAAAATTTATTACAAAAAATAAAACTATGTAGTATTGCCCTTGGGAAATCATCTCAGCTAATTTTGAAAATATGTTTGCTAATTATGAAAATATTTTTCCGTCGAATTCCCTGAATCCTGAGCTGTTGTAAAGCGTAGTTTGCGCGAACTATTGATGCTTGCGAAACAGTGGTTGACAGGAAATTCGACGTGACCTGTCCTATCAACTGTAGTATAACTAATGAAATGTGAGTTGTAAGTTGATAGAACTTGGGGGATAAAAAATTGTCATTTAAAAGACTGACCAGTGATTAAAAATGCAATGAATGGCCATTGCTCAGATTATATGAAAAATAAAAAGTATATGAGCTGAGTAATCCCCCAAGTTGTAAGATATTAAGTGAGGTGGAATTCAAAAGGGGGTATAAAGAGAGCCTTCAAGTCGCATGTAGTGAAAAAGTATTAGAGAGAGAGAGAGAGAAAAACAAAATGAATATACAAATATGATGCACAGAACATAACTGTAAAGTTTGATTGTATCTAGAAAAATAAAACAGCAACTCGTCACATGGCTGAATATAAGAAAACTATAAGGTTTACATGTGTTTCTTTTCACATTCCAAGCAGGCTCTAAATTAAAATACGCGTTTCTCGGCAAAAACTCAATGACACAAGTTCGTTAAATACAGTAAAATATAAATCCACATGTATCAGGGGAAAACAGCAACTTTTCGAAACGGCTGAATATTCTATGAAATCGGTAAATTCGAATTCAAATAATTGTCACTATAGATAAGGCTTAAAGTTAAAATACATTGTTTCTTCTGCTAAACGATATTGTATGTATAAAGATATGTCCAAGTGTATCGAGAGAGAAACAGCAACTCTTCGAATGGCTGAATACTTCATAACAAGTAAAGTTAATTCACATTAAAGTTCAATTATGGTCAACAAGTTCACAATTAAATTTCATTGTTCTTGGTAAAATAACATCCATTCAAGTTCGATAATGTCCACATATCGAATATGACTCAGATATTTTTAGACAATGTCAAAGACTTCTGTGCTTTTCGAATCGTGTCCGTGGAAATACGAATATAACGACAATAACTGTCTGATGTCCACCGACCAAGAGTTTTGATAAGATGATCTTGAATATTAACAGATCCTGCCGATGTACTGGCACCAATTCTAAAAGAATGACCATTGTATAAGCTTGAGTTGTACCCACAAATATCTAGTACATGTCTTAGACTTCTGATGAAAAAGTCCCTGTCTAAAGCGCTACCATTCTCTTTGACAAACAATGGATCTGAAAAACAAAAAGATGCTTCTCTACCCTTCCTGATTGCGATATACTTTTGGACAACAGAGAAAGGACAAATGGTATGATCGGATTTGTGAAGCTGTATACTGACACCTTTACGAAAAGGATCTGTTTTTGAGGTTTTAAGGTGTAGAATAGCATAAGAATCGAGAATCTCAACATCCGTTACACTTAGATTTACAGTAGAATCAAAATGTTTAGAAACTGTAAATTCACCACATCTTAGAAATCCAAAAAAAGGCTACTCTACAGGTCGTTTCTAACATACAATCAGTAAATGTAGAGAAAACACCTGCTCTAAGAAAATTGAAGTACCTGAAAAGTAATAGGAAGACGTGGTTTTGGATTATGCTCTCCTTGTATACGTTTGACGGCGCGCATTATCATATTGAGTCTATGGAGTGTCGATTCATTTGTATAATCAAACGGATGGTCACAGTTACTTTGGATATAATAAAACCGATTTCCACATAAATACAATTTAATGGTTGTATGTAAAAGTCTCAAGTTTTTGTAACAATGTGCGACAAAATGAATCAAAATATCACCAGAAATCGGAGGCATGGGTTTACCTAACCAGACAACCCCGTTGTTAGCACGAAATGCAGTATAAGCTCGATATCCAACTTTATACGTCTGAGATGTTCTAGTTGATAACACATGTCGCCATAAATCCGACACTGTAGACTTTAATGCCACATTACTCGTGAGACTGGCGGGCACTTTTGAGGTACTTTGTCCGCTAAATGTGCAAGTATCTTGAAACGCTCTAGCTGTAAACGAGAAAGAGAGTCACTGATATTATTCTGAACTCCAGGAACGTGTTCGGCACGAAAACAAAAATTATTTATACAGGCATACAAAGTAAGAGTTCTCATAAGTTTCATTATCAGTAAACATCTAGAACGACCTTTATTAACAATATGTACGGTGGCTTCATTGTCACATCGAAATAAGATTCTTTTAGTTGTCCATGAATGACCCCATAAGATGGCTGCAACGACTATAGGATAGAGCCATGGAATATTTCTTTTCGCATGGAGAATTTAAATCATCCGGCCAAGGAGAACAAAACCATTTCCCCTTGAAATAACCACCATAACCAATGGTAGAAGCCGCATCTGTATATAATTCGATATCCCTAACACTAGTATAGTCAGAATCATAAAACATATTAATGCCATTCCAGTTTACCAAAAACGAGTACCAAAAACGCAAATCGGTACGACATTCATCGGTCAAATAAATTTTGTCTTTGAGATCCTTGACAGTTGTTGATAAAGATATTAGGTATGAGACAAAAGAACGACCCGGAATTATAACCCGCATAGCAAAATTTAAATGCCCTAACAATTGTAGAAG